CTCTGAAACGGAGCAAAAACGAGCATATGTCTATAGGACTTTTTTTCTTAGTTTTTTACTCCTCTACACGCTCCCGAAGTTTTGCGATTTAATTTGGAAACACCCTGTATATCCGACCACAAGGGCTTTGTCACGTGGTAATCGATAGTAGAAAAATTTGATATAATTAAGTAGCAGTTATTCATGATTATTTTCTGACGTATAAAAACGAGGATGTTTTATTCATATTATAAATGTAGACACATAAATAAGAAATTCTTATTCATTAAAAAAAAATGATCATGATTATATATCAATCTTTGAATTATTAATTAAAGTTTTCTTTTAAGGATATTACTTATTACCTGTATAATCCCTGCAATTTGAAATTTGAAATGTGTTAATATTTATATAAAAATAAATATTAACTATATACATATGCAGTTGTGTGAATTTTTATAGTTTACTTATATATTTGTTATAAAAAATAATGACAAAAATCTTAATTTTTTATATAAATAGTTTAAATAATCAAAATTATTTATATAAAGTTTCATTTCAATATAGAGATTGTTGTTTTAAATAAATGAAATTTATTTGTTTGTTTATAAAGTAATTAATCTCTATATCGCAATGAAACTTTGAATACAATTTTAGATTTTAGAATGTTATACAATTATAATAATGTTTCCTCTGTCATGATCGACATTACTAATTCACGAAATAGTTTGGGAATTTTCCAAATAGTTAGATATTTTGGCAATTCCTTGCATAACTTAGTGGTCGTGACATTACTATCGGATTTAGTTTCCCGGATGACTGCAGCGGCATTTTGTTATTTTATCAAAGAATCAACAAGGAATTTAAGCCAACGGTAGCCTTTAACATCGTAATCGTGCAAGACATGACCTGCGGCATTATTTGCTCTTTGAATCTAAATTCTGTGACATAGACGTTATTTATATTTTCTCGTATCTGGTTATATATGGTTGACCGGCACTGATTTTCTGCGCAATTTTTCTCCTTTGTCGGAAAATCAGCATAAGGGGAACGAGTAAAATTAAATGTCTTTGAGCACTCTGTGCGTTTCAGGTTCGTGAAACATGGTTGGACTCTGACGTAATTATATGTATATATATATATTCATTCTAAATGATTTAATGAATTTCCACACATTCTAGATCTCTTTTTACATTTTATATCAAAATCAAGACACTGTCTTGATAATGAACAAATCGATCTTGAGTGTAAAGATTTGTTGAGAATATTTCATAGGAATTCGAACCGTTGTCTATATATTGCTTAGGTATGATTTAGTTTATTATAGATCATTTATTGTTCATGATAATGATTGACAAATGATATAAATTGTGCGATAATTAACTGTTTGATAGTAAAAGCAGATCGAAATATATGCACATTTAGTGAAAAGAAAATTGAGTTTTTATGATTTAAAATCATCGTTGAAAATTTGTTCCAAAGAATAGGCCTAATCATAAAATTATATGTATATACATAGAAAACGCAGTTTTTGTAAAATATTTAAAAATTTAGCTAGAGAGAAAGAGAGAGAGAGAGAGAGAGAGAGAGAGAGAGAGAGATCTGAAAATAATTTTGTTAAACCATCAAAATAATTATGTAAAATACTTGAACGTTGATAACTATGCTCTCTTTAAAAGGTTTAAATATTCTAACAGTTTAAGCGACCTACATAATTTGGTGGTCTGA